GTTTTTTAGTTTTGTATTAGTTTTTATATATATAAACTTTAATAAAAATATTTTTAAAAAAGAATTATTTCCATAATTGCGCTCAATATGTGTTCTTGAATAGGTCAAAGGACTTCCCCCGTTTACAGGGAAGTCCTTTTACAAGTTCAGATACACTGAAACACAAGGACTGAATCTAATGCTATGGAATAGCTATGCAATAAGCTTTGTGGTGAAGACCATATAATAAGCATTCTCAAATTCTGATATTTGCTTTTAGCAAGATAAATTCTGTCTGCATGGCTAGGAAAATTATTTTCACCATGCTGCAAATAGTCACCTCATTTGTTGTTGTACATCAACTGCTGTTCCTCCATTTCCTCATCCTTTGCCCTCACAAGTTTCTAATTTGGCCATGCTGTCATTTGTTTTGAATTGTTGAGACAAAGCAGGCTGTTTCACAAACATAGGGGTTGTCATAGCTTGTTTAATGGCAGTGCGTTAACGACTTCACAAAGGTAAGCGCATATAAAGAATGCTACCTTGCAATAGTAACCACGGCTTGTATTTTATGTTTTTGTGCAATTATGCGAACAATATGAGGTATAGCAGATAGTGAAATATTCAGAGAAATATATAAATCACCATGTACAAAACTGAGGAACAACTCATACTATTGGTTCCTCTAGCCCAGGGTTTGTTTGGGTGCCTTCAAGTCAGTGTTGACTTCTGGCGACTGCCTGGACAAGTCCCTAAATTCTCTTGGCAAAATTTCAGAAGTGGTTTGCCATTGCCTGCTTCCTAGGGCTGAGAGAGAAGGACTGGCGCAAGGTCACCCAGCTGGCTTCATGCCTAAGGCAGAACTAAAATTCATGGTCTCCTGGTTTCTAGCCTGGTACTTTAACCACCACACCAAACTGGCTCTCTAGCCCAGAACTGTTAAACTATTTGTTAATACTAACCAGTAAAATTCTCCTGGGTTTGAGCATCTCTTCCCGTACCTTGAAATGCTTAGGACTGAATCTGAGCTCTGCTATATGCAAAGTATATGCTCCACTTCAAAAATAAAATACAGGAGTCTTAAGCAACTTTAGCTGATCTGATATCTAAGTAGGATCAGACCTGGTTACTACTTGGATGGGAGGTCAACATGAAATTCTAAGGCTGTAAGATAGATCAGGAAGTTGAAAAAAACCTCCTGGAAGATAGTGGTGGCCCACCACTATATGGACACAAAGTCACAGGACTCCAGTTTGACTTGAAAAAACTTTGCTTTAGCACCTACTCCATGAAGAGAAGATAGTACTGTTTTGCTTTGTCACTGATATCAGCTTGTCAGATAATAAGGGGTTTCTAATTACACAGCATAACAGTCATCTCTTCCATTGCATGCCTTCTAATGGCATTAGAACAAAAGTTTCCAATTTCTAGCCCCAGGGCCACATGCCACCCCATCCTTAAAAGTATTTGGCTTTGATTGCCACCAATATTAAGGTCATAATATTACAGTAATTGTGCAGGTAAACCATTTCTAGCTATTTAGCATTTTTTTAAAAAAAGCATGTGAAACTTTTAGAATTGTTCTGTTTTACTTTTTAGTTTTTTTAAAATTGCATCTTTTCCTTGTTTTTAAATACCCCACAGTGACAAAATGTTAGGGTTTCAGTGCTTTAGACTTCAAGGCAAAAAGGTCCTTAAGAGCACATAGGGCACCGTTGTCACAACTTTCTGCCACTCCTTAAACTAAACATATATTTTGCCAGGACCACAAGACAGGAAGGTATACAGGGAGCTGCATTATCCTGGGAAAAGGTATGGCCACTTTAAAGAGTTGCATGCTCTGAATCCTCTTGTGCCTTTGTATCCAAAATGTTGGATATCCATACCAAAAGATGTGTGTATATATGCATGCATATGCCATAAGACTTTATTTTAAATTTAAAGGAAAAATATTTGGTAATCATGTCAAAGATAAATATGGCAGTTGTGGTTCTGTCTATTTTGGTGTTCACGCCTGTCTTCAAAACCCCCTGGAAGCATCTGGCAGCCACAGCATTTTGTTGATTCATGTGTTTAATTTAGTAACCAATTATTTATATATTTACTTAGCTTCATTCTATCCACGTCTTCTTCTACCCACTTGTGAGGACTAAAAGCTGTCCGTAACTAAATGCAGTTCTTGTCCCCAAAATAGTTGTTTATCCTTGCATCATAGGAAGGGTAGGCAACCTGTAATATGAGCCTTAAAATGGGATTAACACACTTAAAAATGCATATCCCACAAGGAAAAAAAACACAGCCACATACATGATGCAGCCCTGCACATTTCACATTATCATTCTGCCCAGTGAAGCCTTTAACCCTCCAAAAAAAGCAGTCATTGGCCATCAAAAAGCTACCCATCTTCACCGCCCTGTGAAGATGTATAGGAATAAATTCCTACTATAAATTCACTCTGACCATCAATTTGTCCAACTATCTTCTCACCTATTTTAAATATTCCATGACCTGAAGCAATTTCCTCTCTTTCAGGGGTGGCCAAAACATGCTGACATTTTGTCAAAATGACCAACATGCCTCATATTGCCATTAGGCAAACTCCATGCAATGCACATTTCTTCATTTGCTCCATATTGTTCCCTTGTGGATGCCCGTGCTCCCTTCCTTCCAAATATTATTGTGGAATTAGCAGAACCTGATTACAACATCATAAATCATAAATATCTCCTGGGGGAGGGGGATCCCAGATGTGACCATTTCTGATGACTCCCATCTTACACAGACAAATATTTACTGAGTTGTACTAGCCTTCAATAACTATTTGCTGCTTATGTACCTAATATGAAGCCTTCTGGAGTTAAAAGAAACACAAAAATACTGTTATGGACCAAATGGAATCAACTGCATTACATCTGAGTAAACAAATTAGCTTTTAGGAGAGGGAAAAGGAATTGAGAAGCCAACCAAAGTCAGTATCATCTCTCAAAGGATATGTTTCTTAATATATTTTCAGGTTTAAATTCTACTTATACATGTTCATTTTTAAATTCTACTTATAAGGACAGCCTGGAATTTAATCTCTCAAGCACTTAAAGGAAGAAAGATTCTTTCCATATTAATAGAAATTCAAATGTTCACTCAACAAACAAATATAACTATATATAACAAACAAATATAACTAACCCCACTACCAAAAATGGAGATTAGACTGTAACCACATACTGTAAAATAAACCTTAACATTTCAGGGAAAATGTCCTCTATCCTTCCCTGGTAATAAACACAACTTCCCAAATGAAATTAGGTTCCATTCTGGCTTGGAGCAACTGGAGCCTGGATTTAAGCCTTAAATTTTGATTTGGTTTGATTTAATTTGATCTGAAGCCTCTGGGGTTCCATCATCTCTTTATGAAGTATTTTTCCTCTTTATTGCTGTTCTTTCCTTCCAAACCTCTGATGTAACAGCTGGACTTGCTCATAAGATAAAGTTAAGACCTACTACATTGTCCTGGCCAGTTGTCTACCATACATTTGCGCTATTGTGAAATAGCCCAAATACTGCATCTTGTAGAATGAGAAAGTAAAAAGTCAAATTGTCTATGTCAGTGGTTCCCAACCTTTTCTATGCCCCACACCCCTAGAAAATATTTGATTAATATTCGCAACCCCTAGGAAAGTAATATCACATTTGAAGATGTGGTACTTAAGGCACACTGGCAGCTGACTGAGTGATGAT